CATTATTCTAAAGTTGTAATAATTCTTAGTTGGACATGATCTTGTGGTCCAAGAACAAATGTATTTGGTGGTCCAGCCCAATCATGAATTACTTCAAAAGGCAAACGGCATTGTTTGTTACCACAAAGGATGTGTATATGTAAGGTAGCCCTAATTACAATGACAAGTCACAATCAATCTGCAAATGAGAGATTGTGGGCCTTTTATAATTTATTTTTTATTCTTCTTCATGTTTAGGGTTTAGGGTAAAAAGGTAAAAACATATAGTCAACATTTCCTGTTGCTAAACCACTAACAGAATTAGCTACCTCTAAGTAGTTGAGTGGTTTGATAGAGACTCTTAGGTGTATTATTAAGAGGTCTTGAGATCGAGCCTCTCCTCGATTGTTAATAGTGATAGCCATTAGAGCTTTTATCCGGTAGGTAGTATTAGGGTTCCGATGAATTAGTTAAAGTACGCGTAAACTGGCTCGGACACCCCGATCATAAATTAAAAAAAAAATTCCACTAACAAAATGGTAAAAAGTATGGAAAAAAATTAATGGGTTGTTGCCATTTTATAATTTATTTTTTATTCTTCTTCATGTTTAGGGTTTAGGGTAAAATGATAAAAACATATAGGGTCAGCATTTTCTGCTACTACCAAAATTAACTATCTCTAAGTAACCGAATGGGTTGATAGAGATTCTTAGATGTATTATTAAAAAGTCATGAGATCGAGTTCCTCTTTGATTGTTAATAGTGATAGTCATTAGAACTCTTATACGGTCGGTAGTTTCAGAGTCATGAAAAATTAGTTAAAATATACGTAAACTGATTCGAACACTCTGATCATATATTTTTTAAAAAAAAAATCCACTAACAAAATGGTAAAAAATTAATGGGTTGTCGCCACTTTACCTGGAGATTGTAGTTGGACCATGAAACCAGAATTCAAATTTTGCTCCCAGCGAGAATCTTTGCAGGTTTTGTATGTTTCTAGGCCCAAATGGGCCTCTCTTAAACACACCAAAACGCCTCCAACTTTGGACACTTTGATAATGGATGGAAAGACATCGAAAGGGGTTTCGAGATACCAAGTTTTTACGTTAATGAATTTACAATATGGTTAAATTATTCTATTCCGACTTTATGCATTATTGGTTTCCTGTTATGGTTATGACCAAATTTAACATTCTAAGCCTGTCTCATGGATAGTGGCTCCATGTTTTTTATCATCTTCAACTAGTGGTTGTCTACTAGTATTGAAGGGATTCCTTGTAACAAAAAATGGTTCATATTTTAAGTCACGTCAAATGTTTCTTCTATTTTGAGGCCAAACAATTTGCTCTATCATGGGTTGTAGACAACCCATCTTGCTGCTATTCAATGGCACTTTAATAGAGACGTTTTCTTGAAAATTGATGAATGTTATTCTCGGTAACTTTTTCAATACTGTAAATGAGTAACAATTTGCCTTCGTTTTTTTTATGGTTAATCCTTGTTCTCTTCTTAGCTAAATTACGAAACGTTTTGTGCTATTTTAGTGTAAATGATCACACATAGCTTATCAATTTAGGAATGATCTAGACAAATTTACGCACACCTCAACTATAGTATAGTATCCCACCGGCATGATCACCTGCTTAAATCTTGAGAGATAAGTAGGTGATCACGGGGGACAACCCATCTTGCTATTAAATATTACTCTCAGTAACTCTTTTAGTATTGTAAATGAGTAACGATTTGCCTTCGTTTTTTGTGTGGTTAATCCTTGTTCTCTTATCTGCTAAATCATTAAATGGTTTTGTGCAGTCAATATATCCATTAACAGTTTGTGTACACTTCGACTGATCTCTGTAAGTGACTAGCATGGTATCTCACCGTCATAATCACATGCTTAAATCTTTAAAACCAAAATGATTTGAACTTGAGACCATACACTTTAACCACATATCTCAAGACTCGTCCTACCATTTGAACTACATAAAGGTGGTACATAAAAGAATATTCATTCATATGAATTAATAAACCGAATTTCTACTATATACAAAATGAATCCACAAAACAACATAATTTTACTAACTTATATTTTGATATTCCCCATGTCGTGGTCCTATATATATATATATATAATGCATAGTCATGTGTCATATATATATATAAATGTGATATTATGATTATTCCCAAATGTACAGTATGGGCATGAGATGGGAATAAAAGGGCAGAAAACAGTGACCCTGGTAGATAAAAAAGAGAATAATATTACATTTACACACTCTTTTACACCTTTTTCATTACATTATGATGTGATATATACCACAACCATAAAAATTATATTATAATATTAAAAATTTAAAATAATTAAAAATTTATATGATTGTGGCATATGTCACATCATAATGTAATAAATATGGTGTATAAGAGTGATATAAATATAACATTATTCATGAAAAGAGTGGTGAATGAATAGTAATGGCGTATTATTTGCAGAGGCGGACCAAGCCTCTCACATTTTTTGAAAAAATTGTTATATAAGCTTATATATATCGGTCTATTTTCAGATTTTTAAAAAATAAAAAATATTATACATATATCCAAACTCATAAAAAAACTTGCTATTAATATATATGTTTCACGCCTACATCATATTAAAAATTTAAAACTCTCTCCACTCATTTCTACGTGCATCTTTTTTATATGATTTCATCTTTAAAAATCCTTATTTTCCTATTCTCTCTCACTTTCTCTATGTTATTCGTTCTTAAAACTTTTGAAGACTAAAATTGTTTAAGTTTTCACTCATCAAGGTGTCATAATTAGCTTCGTTTTCTGTTTTCTCAGTTTTAGGTATGTGTATTACTCATTTCATTTTAGTTTATTTTAGGGTTGAATCATGCTTATTTTTTTTAAAGGTTTTTTCACGTAAAAATTTTCTTGTGTTTCCTCGTGAATTGAATGTTATTTTCAACATAATTTGCTCAAGGTTTTGCTTCTCATAGATTTATTCAAGTGGTAAAGTATTGTATTGTTGTATTATTTTCTTTCAGATTATTGATATTATATTATTTTATTTGCTTACGGTTTAATGATTTTTTTAAAATTTTTTACTAGTTGTTTGACAAACAATAACAAAATCACTGAGACCCCCGGGCAAAAATCTTGGTCCACCACTGGTTATTTTGTCAGGTGTGTTCAGTGAAGTTTCAGAGAATAATGGAAACCTAGCTGTATTATTTTCATCAATCATCACTCTCTTAACACATTACTGGGACTCATTCAAGAACAGGTCAACCCTTCTTACACGCCTGCACTGCACCTAACCCAGCTGCTTCATGTATTTGCTAAATCTGCAATTGTGTGCTCAATTTTGTTTGACACAAACTCAACTTTACCCAATCATTCAACACCCTTTCAGGTTTTTGTCTAAATTTTATCAATGATTCATGAACAAACAGAGAGATTTGTGTTGTGTTGTTCATGAACCCTCGTGAGGATCTATGTTGGTGGTGGGTTCTGGAGAGGAGAGGAGTCAAAGCATGTTAAATTAATACAAAGTTGTAGTAGAATATTACAAAGAACGCAGGCCAAGGAGTTGGGGAAGGTGAGATTATTTTTCTCAATATTTTGACCATTATCTTAGGAGACTGTGATGGCAATGGCCTTAACAAAGGAGAATTCAAATCCACTTAATTTAAGCATTGTATTGCAATTACCTAGAAATCCCATTTCCCCATTCTAGTGCTCTATACATTATAGAAAATAATATTTAATTGGACCGACTCTAGCTTTCAATAAGGTCAATTAATACAATACAATACATTTTCTAATGAGTCAAGAATTGGATTTAGCATTCAGCATTTAGCTCATTGTGCAAATTAAAATTTTAATTAATTAATTAATTAATTCTAATCATGAATTAGCTGGCTTTGTATTTACTTGCAAGTCTTGAGAAGAAATCCTTGTACAATACAAGATTATGCCTGGCCCTGGCTCCTTAACTGTAACCAACCTTTATTCGGCTAATAAAATTAGAATTTAATGTTTAACTTTTAGGGTTTGGAAGTTTATATGCACACAATGTTCGTTTTTATGTACAAAATTAGTATTTTTAAGTACAATAAAGATTGGCTGATAACACAATTTTACATACTTTTTTCTCATAATCCCGATGTGATAGCTTGCAATTAACCAAGCGAGTCTATTGCGAATTGACCAATTGCGAGCTATCACATCGGGGTTGTGAAAGAAAGTTTGTGAAATTATATTGTAAGTCTAGTATTGCCCTTTGAAGTATAAAACATCTTAGTTATTTGAAAATTATAATATATGTGATTCATACACATGGGAACTCTTGAAATCACATTAGCATATCATCAATTTCGATGGACCAAAAGCTGCCACTTGGACAAAAAATCAATAAAGATTGACTCACACCCCAATCTTACAAACTTTTTCTCACAATCATGATGTGGCAACTCGCAATTGGGTATACGGGAAAATTCATCAGAAATCAATTGCGAGTTTCCACATCGGGATTGTGAGAGAAAGTTTGTGAGATTGGGGTATAAGTGTGGTATTGTGCCAAAAAGATTGGAAGGATTAAGGGGATTTTTGTTATTTAAAAAACATTGAAGGGATATGTAATTAAATCAAACCTGAGGGGGTAAATTTTTTATATCAGTAATTTAGTGTACCCCTATAGTTTGAAAATTATCATTTACCTCCCTTCATAAATATCTTTTCCACCTCCTCATAAATTAAATGCTGCCCGTCCCTTGCCTTTGGTCGGCCGGGCAGGCCCATATACAGTGACCGTTTTTTACATTCTTTATGGGCCTGTTAAACCTGACAATGACAGGTCCATGAAGGCCCAGTTGGGTGTACAAAATCTCCATCGAACTCCCTCTTTATAATGTACCTTCCCTGCACACATTTCCCTTACATCACACTTACTTTCTTCTCTTCTTATTATTCTTTCTCTTTTCTCTCTCCCACACAACTCTGCACTGAGAGAGAGAGAGAGAGAGAGAGAGAAAGAGATCATACAGATGAAATCAAGACACAAGTTTCTTCAAGGTATGAATAAGATATATATGTCTGAATTGGAATTTTAGTACAATAATTTATGTAAAGTTTAATATTAATTATGATGTTGTCCATGCAGGTGATGTTGAAGCCAAGACCATCATGCAGAAGGGCGAAGGTGAAGGTGAAGACTCCATGGAAGATTACAATAAGAGTAATTGGTTTGTAATGGAGGCAACGACTACTTCATCTTCATCTTCATCTTAATTTGGTGCTATCCTACCTGAGCTTTTTCAACTATCCTCTTCTTCTTCATTTTTACTTTGTTTTTAATTTCTTTCTTTTCTTAATTTGTTTCTACTTTTAAAGTCTTCTTGACCTTGTAAGACCTTTTCTTGACCTTGTAAGACCCCATTTTGTGAATTTTTATTTTTGTTTTTGTTTTTTAACAAATTCTATAGCAGAATTTTCTGATATAGAGTTTGATCATCGTTTCTCCCCGGTTCCGCCCAACTCATCTTCTCCTTCCTTGTCTATCCCTCCTGAGCTGTTCGAAGCAAAAGTAGCATACGATCTTTCTTCATAAGTATAAAATTCTTCAATTAAACACCATTTTTGCAATGTGGGGTTTAGGTTTTTATCCCATAATATGTAGATATTGTATCATGAGTTTGAGATGAGAGTTCTGTAAAAGAGTACTACTTCTACAGTTCTACTTGAAGCAATTGTAATAAAAAGTCTCTGTGTTTGTGTGTATAGTTTGTTTTGTTTTGTTTTCTTTATGTATTTGACAGTGAAAACACTATTTCATATTCTGTTAAGACCATCAATTTCAATTGTTATTATGTGAGGTGTGCAGAAATATGCTGTTGCAGGTTTCAGTTTCGTTGTTTTTTATGTTGTTTTCTGAGAAAATAGGCAAAAGAAATAAATATTCTTTCAGATCTGTGCGTAAAGAGTTAGACTTTCCCCTCGTGACTGCTCTTATTCTGTATAGCCATAGTATTTCCACTGTATTATTGGAGCTCTCTCTCTCTCTCTCTCTTTATTTTTTTTACCCTCACTGTGTTTAATTTCTACTTCTCCTCATAAATGTCATGGGATGAGGTCAGAGAAACCAAAAAACAAAAAGCAGCCGCCCATGAAAGCACTTAATTTCAATCTTCTCTTCCATATTTTTTCTCCTTTTGCGCAGGACAAAGTGGGATAAAATAAAAGTGAGTGATCATCTTCCTCAGTTTGCCGGTTGACACTCAAATCTTTGTTTCTGCAAAAATTATATCTCTACACTGCTTCTCTCTGCACTGCTTATTCTGCGCAAAACCCACCAAGAATATCAACCATTAAATTAACAGTAGAACTTAGTTAAATTGATGATCCATCTTCTTCTATGTATGCGTAAGAGTTTCAACATGGCATAATCAGGCAAAAGATTCCTACACTAACATTGGAATAATTAATGACTACACCTAATTTTCAATTATTTTCTGTGCTGCAAAATGGTAGCCCTACCTGAGAGGCTCCCTCTATTCGACAACTGTCCCAACCCTTATTACTCATCTACTAAATGATGTGTTGAAAGAGAGACAAACCCAATTAGATATTGATATTTGTTGGACATGTCACATGGAACTTTGTTCAATTAATCCTCGAAAAACCCTAAAATTATCGGTCAAGTAAAAATTCTAATGGTTACTCCTATTAACAATCGAGGAAAGATTCGAACTTAAAACCTCACTCGATCACCCAAAGATAGTTTCACGTTTGAATTTTTTAGTAGAATAATAAAAGAGGAGTGGTGACTTGAATCAGAAAATGATGATGTTCACAAGTGGGCATTGAAAAGCTCAATACCTTTGCCTTGTCTCCAACATACTGATGAACTGACTAATGACCTATTTTTTCCCTCTGGTCTTTCTGATGGGCAGAGAGAAGAAGAGAAAAGAGAATGGTGACAACATAAAAGCTAAAAGATCATTTGAATTGAGGCAAAACTAATCATTATATTTTGCCTTGTATCTTATTACTTACTATTTGAGCTCTAGATCCAGATCCCTTTTCTAGTGTTAGGTTTCTGAAAGCGATGGGCCCTTCTTCTTTTCAAACTTTTTACCATCTTTGGGTAACATGCTAACATGGTTCATTCATTACCTCTTGTTACCTTTTTTTTATAAAATCATTCATTCCTTTCATGACCCTTTCTAAAGTAGAGAAGATCTGAGTGCCCTCTCAAATCTCAATAATATATGCCTACATGAACGACAATAGGTAAATCATAATTAACCTCCCCTCACTTTTAACTGTGCTTCATGTGGAAATTTCATTTGGGACTTCTTTCTCATTTCTCATCAGCAATATTATATTTTCCCTTTTGCCAGAAAGAAAATCCACAATTGACCCATTTCAATAGCCGTCCAATAAAGGGGCTTCTATTGGGTTATCTAGCCATACATCGAAGCTTAAAACTTCGTTCTATACAGCTTATTTGAGTTGGGTTCATGAAAATATTTGGCTTCATTTGATTGGTTTTTGGGATTCCCAAAAAAGTTAAACAGTAAAATACCAAAAAACTCATAATATTATTCAATTTTTTTAAACCCCTTAAATTTGTTAATTTAATTAAATATCTCTAAATATTTTTAAAAAAATTGTAAAAACACCCCAATAATCCACATTTACCAGATTCTGACCACCACTGCCGAAAAATAGCCAGAATCTGGTAGGATGACGCACTATCGACTGAATTTGGCCGGTAGTGCGTCAATCTAGCCTTTTCCGACCAGATCTAAGGCCAAAGATCTAGCCGTTGATGGCCAGATCTTTGGCTGTAACCAGTCGATAACGACGGCCAACAAACGGTCGTCATTGACCATCAACGACGACCGTTTGTTGGCTATCGTTGACAAGCAAATACGGTCAGATCTGGCCGTCAATGGTTAGATCTAGTCGTAGATCTGGCCTTTGCCAGCTAGATCCACCATGGATCTGGCCGGCAAACGCTATATCTGTGCACGACCGGTAAGATCCAGCCAGTCATACTCCGATACGGTGACTCCGGCCATCCTCCGATGATGGTGGCTGGCTGTCCGTATTTGAGGGTGGGTTGGGGGTGTTTTTGTTAACTTTTAATGTTTTATTATAGGGGGTGTTTAGTAAAAAAAAAACATAGGAGGTATTTTAGTAATTTGTAAATCCTACATCGTAATACCCGCCCAATTCAACTTTTTTTTAACTTTTTTCAAAAAACTTTTCCCAAAAACACAAAATTGTGAACCAAACGGAGCCATACAGTTTGGCACTTTTTAGAATAGTTTTTTAGAAAAAGTTGAGTTGAGTAGTATTTTGATAAGTTTTTTGCACATTTTTAAATAATTTTTTCTGAAAATATGTAGATTATTTTAACCCCCTAGATTTGTTAATTTAATTAAGCACCCTCAATAATAAAAGTTTATAAATTGACAAAAACACTCTCATCCACCCACGTGTTGCCAGTAGCGGACCATCACTGTTAGAAGATGGCTGGAATTTGTTGTAATGATGTACCATCGGCTGAATCTGACTGGAAAAGTTCAGATCTATGACCAGATCCACGGTGGATTTGGTCAGAAAAAGCTAGATCGGTACACTACCGACCAAATTTATCCGGTAGTACGTCATTATTGTAGATTCTGGCCACCTTCTGGTGGTGGTGGCCAGAATCTGGTAAATGTAGGTGAGTGTGGGTGTTTTTGTCAATTTATAAACTTTTATTGTTGAGGGTGTTTAGTTAAATTAACAAATCTAAGGGGTTAAAAATAATCTAATTTTTTTGAATTAGATAGAATATGATTAAATTTGGAAAATATTAAAACAAATACATTTTTTAGTTTTAAGATAAAATAGTGGAATAAGATAGGAAATGAAAAGTGTGCCAAACGGACAACTTTTTATGAGAAATTTGTGGTCGTTCAATTAGAAAAATGTAAAAGAGTTTTTAACATTATTTTAACAAAAAGGGTTATAAATTGGCGATGTGGGAGAAATATCGAAATACAACTTCTAACACTTTGGATCAATAAATAGATGAGTTAATAGTGTTTATAAATAATTACATTTCATGTGCCTGCTAAAATTCTTAAACGTCATGTATAAACATATATTTCATATGTGAAATTTCTTTTTTTTTTTTTTAACTTCGACCCTTTTATTTGTTTAATCTTACATTTTTGACCTTTTAAAATCAATTGCCTAGCTAGCTCCGCTCCTGTGTTAACATAACTCACAATTAGGGGTAAAATCGAGTTGAGTCGAGTATCTGGTTAATCAAACTCGACTCGGGAGCTATAGTACCGAGTTCGAATTCGAGTTCGAGCCTGAGAAATCGACTTCGAACTCGAACTCAGTACCTGAAATTGGAATTTGAGTTCCAATTCGAGTTCGTATAATCAAGTTTTATTCGAGTTCGAAAATACGAGTTTCAATCAAATTTGAGTATTTGGGCTTCCATAGAATTAGAGTATTCAAGTTTTAGTCGAGTTTTGAGTTCTACTGTGATTGAACTTGAACTCGAACGACTACTTGAACTTAACTCAACTAATGCCAAGTCGACTTCGAGCCGAACTCGAGCCGCTCGGCTCGATTTTCATCCCTATCCACAATCTAGTACACTTTTTGACATATTTTGGAGAAAATGGTTAAACATTTATTGAAAATGGCAGACAAATTACATGATAAAGACTCCAGAAAAAGTGTTCCAAGTGCTATGCTACTGCTATTGCTGTTGCCAGCTTGATTCTTCTTGTTCACATCTCATGACCTATACTCTCTCTTTCAATAGGCCCTTCGGCTTCTCCATTTGTGTTGTGGTCTCAAAAGTCTGGTTGGGTTGGGTTAGCCCTAGCCATCTATCTTTTTCATCTTTTTCTACAGTGACCATGTTCTGGTTCATTCTACATAGGCCTAAACCTTTCGTTTTTCAAACCTTATCATGGCCCAAGACACATGGATTGGCTGCCTCTCTGTTTAAGCTTCCAAGAAAAATCTTCGATACACCCGACCGACATATCTATATCACATCATTTGTATATTCATCTTCATCAAATTTCTCGGGTTTATCTTTACCATTATTAATAAATTTTTAAAATAAAAAACATATATGAGATGGAATTTTATTGAACATACATATAACTGCGTTATCGCGTTTTACTTGATTCGTTATTAAAGTATGTTATATTAATATCTTTTTAAAAATTCTCAGGTTTGTCTTTACCACTAATCATTCACCTGTTTTATAAAACTATTATATTTATTTTTATTCTTTTTCTCGTGATCTTGATTATTATTTTAAAACCCAAAATTGTCCCAATCTTTAGTATTTAATAGCTGTTGTACAGTCTATGTTATAACCAAAGGTACTAAAATTATATTTATTTGATGTGGGTTGGTTATAATATTAATAAATTTAATCAAATTATTAGATATAATATAATATAATCCATCAATTTCTATCATTTTCTAGAGGTTCCATTCAGAAGAGACTTGCAAAACTCAACATGCTAACCTCCAACAATATGATACCCATAATTTAATATATATATATATATATATATAGCTATCTCCATTGTAATTCACATCACCCTAACATATTTTATTTGAGCTAAGAAAACTATATATTAAAAATTATAGTAAAAACCGCCAATATCTAAGTCAAGTTTGGTGGCACTTGGGGCTCAATAGTCAATGGTGTCCTTTCTTTGGGCCCATGGCCCATTTCTATTGGCCCGTCCGCCCACAGATCCGCACCAAATGAATACAGCCGTTGCCTGTATTCATTTATTTTTCTAAATAAATTATTTAAATTATGGTA